TGTGTGTGTGTGTGTGTGTGTGTGTGTGTGTGTGTGTGTGTGTGTGTATGTGTGTGTGTGTGTGTTTAAATTAACCGTAGCCAATCGGTAAAATATTTTCATTCATGAAAAGTTTGTCTTGCAGTGAAATGAAACCATTATTTAATTATGTACAGTCCGTGACGTATGAAAACAATGCGTTAAATGGATTTCATTCCAAGAATTCAAAGAAAACTTGACTCAAAAAGAACAATATTTTTTAAGTGGTTATAGTGGTTACTCAGATACATATTTCATGTAAATATAGATAATTAATATATATACAAAACTATACATATGACTGCAACTTATATCACTGCATCACTACATGCCTACTTTTACATGGCAAACCTAAGACAACAGTATGCGTCTACTCGAAATAAAAATTATGAATTGAGCATGAACCTGGGTAATACGAGTAGGTCAATTGGAAGGATCCCCGAAACGAATCGATTACAAATAAGAACGATTGCAAACTATATCACAAGGATTTTGATATATTTTTTAATATGATTTATAGTAAATGTTATGTTTCTCATTTTTTGTAAATTTTTGTATCTTTGTTTAACCCACAAATATAAAAATAAAAATAATAACAATTAATAATGAATATATATGGCAACAATATATAGTAATAAATAACTATGAAAAATGAAACTATACATTGAGATCGAATAGTTTTGAAGGTATGTTGTACACAATCTAACGTTGAATATTAAATATTGAATATTTATATTTATATATATTTATAGCTTTGTATAATAAACTGATAAAATATGTATTAAAATGCGTGTTATAAAAAATTGTATAGTTAAAGTTACAATAAATAAAAGAAGTGTAACATGCTTGTATATAAAATATATTTTTACTCAGTTACAACCTATTTTTTTTATTTTTAGTCGATCGTGATAATCTAGAAAAACTCAGAAGTCGGTCACAAGTCTTTAAAAATTGGCCACCTCTATATATAAACCTGTTCTATAGTATATACGAGTATATATATAATATCGTAGTATCTCATTAAATAGAAAATAAGACTCAAATAATATTATGAGGAAAAAAAATATAAAAATATTACAAGTAAAACATAGAAACAAAAAAATTTCAAATAATATAAATTGTCTTCTTATTTAGCAAACCTTAATAAATCTTTTAAATAAATACATTTTTACTTAACTGCGGAAGAATGAGGATTATGTGTTAAGGTGTAATGTATGTTTATTTACATCTAACATTTGAACTAATTGACTGAAACAAACACTGTGTGTTTTAACTTTTTTTTTCTTCGATTTTTCGTCACTAATGTTAGATTATTTCACGCCTCCGTCAATTATTAATTAATTTGACTTATTTGAAATATTGGCATACCTATTATACGTTATTTTATATGAACGAGTTAAAGAATTAACGTTAAAATAAATTTCGATGATAAACTATTTGCTGAAAGACAGGCTTATGTGGCGATTAGTCGAAAAAGATCCTTAAAAGGTTTAGCAATAAGCAATTTAAAACTTTATAGGTTCCATAAAATGTATACGATAAAAATGCATTAACACTTTCCCTAACCAATGACCCAATTGCGGTTCATGTTATTTGTTTTTAGTCAGTCCCAAATATAATTTGAGTTTTATAAATAAATAATAACACTTCAATAACTAAATAGAGAAAGATAAATTCATAATTATTATTAATATTTATTAAATGAACATTGAATTTGGTTGAAGTAGGGTGTCCTCCATAGTTCAACAATAATAATTATGTTACGACTAATACATATATAGTAATAAATACACTAAGAATCGGTTATACAAAATTAAAACATGGATATTCGATGGTCAAAGAAAAACCTCAACCACCAAACCGATATTAATCGAATGCCGTCAGTATAAATTAAAGGAAATAATATGCTAAACCAAATACACGAAACCACATTTTGTAACAAATAACAATATTTCAAACCAATGCTTATGTATAAAATAAATAAAATATAGCATATTGTTAGGTATTTCATAGTAAGCTTATCACGGTTGTAAAATTATACAGAGCACTCGACTTCAACGGAAATTTAATCAACACTGGTAATAATCATGAATTTATTATTCTCTGTTTATGTCTCCCCATAATATAACACAACACACATGGTGTTAAATTGCCTAGTCTAGCGCCGTTATACAAGATACTAATCTGATCTGATTTCAAATATAAGTAATTATGAAATTTGAAAGGCTTATTATAGGATTACATTTTATCAAGCAATGTTAATTTCTATAGTTTCTTAAATTAATCCATAATTAAAAGGTCTTTGGCTATCTACAATAAGAAATCAACAATCAACAAAGAGGAGACCTTTAGAAACCGCGTTATACTTTACGAATGTTACGAGTTTATCCATACATTAATATATTTAAGGTTACTATATATACGAAAGCGTAACATGCATGCTATTTTATACGATGAACTAAACAATCAACTTTATAGCTATTGTTCACATTAATTTCTCAATAAGACAAATTATATGATGCAATTATACTCAGGTTTTCATTTAGGCAACTTCTGCAACTCATAAGATGTATAATAAAATAAAAAATTGCTCCCTGGTTTTAAAATATTAAAATATTAACAGGAAAACGAAAGAGTAAAAATAAAAAACTATAGAAATCCGTGTTTTTCCAACTTTTACACAAGTTGTTGTAATTATTGCTTCCTAACATGATTATTATTGGAAACCATTGAACAATTGAACAATACACGTAAAAACAAATAATTTTTATCAGTTTTTATCGGTGTAAAGTGCACATTAAGGTGGTCCTAAGCTTTTTTCTGTAATATTTACTTTATTTTTTTTTTTTTTTTTTTTTTTTTGTGTACATTTTGCGGCAACCCCTCACTGATTCTTGTTAATATCTAATAATGTATTTACGTACAATTTTAAAGCAATCGTTCAGTTTTAAGCCCCACCCTTGAGCACTTAAAGTCGAGTATAGTTTTAAAATGTTTTACGAAAAGCTCTACAAACATTGTACATCCTGTAAACACATATTTTATAGACGGCAAAGGGAAAACAATTTCTAGAAGTCGGAAAAAACTGAAGTGTGAATTCCGATCTTATCGATTAAATCGACCATGGACCGTGGTGAACCACGTACGCGAGGCGTGCGGATAATTCGCCGTAACTCGAACCCGAATTGTACGATAGTCGAGTTACGTATAAGCATCTAAAGCGCATTATCGATCGTAGAATTATCTCCGCTCTTCGGATCCGATCAAATCACCGCGACGAATTAACTGAACATAACCGGAAGGCGCAAATTAAAAATAAATAAAGGAAACCAGCACGACTCCACGCTCCACCCAGCACGCCACTCGCGTATAAATTAATTTTTTATTCCGCTTGTAAATTTAAAGTTTTCGATTTCCACGTGTACCAAAATGTTACTTACCCCATTTTGGACGGGTCATCGCCACTGTGCCTCTTCGTGTGTATCATACCCGCGGACGCTTGAGACGTGGTGTGTTCCGTCTCGTTTTCGTTGACGTTCGTGGGCAACATGTCCGCCGAGCCGCCAACACCACCAACGCCACCCACGCCACTTCCGCCGCCAAACGTATACGCACCGGTGCCCGTGCAGCCGTTGGCACTAGACGTTGCGTTATTCGAGCACGCTGGTCCCATTGCCGAAGTTTTTCTCATGCTTGTCAACCGGTAGAATGGCGGCGTTTCCATCCGTTCGATGAGACAGTTGAGCGTTTCCACCGTCTGCAGTTCAGTCATCATCTCGTCCAGCAGCCTATCCGGCCTGGACCGGGCTAGGTACAGCGTTACGCGTTTGGCCTTTAAACAACCGGGGAAAAAAAATATATTACAACGCACGCGAAGTCGTAATAGTACACAATACGAATTATTGGCCAGCGCGATGCTAAACACCAGCCGGTAGTGACATGGTGGCGAAACGATTCGGAAATTGGAGTGGAGAAATCATATTGCGTTTAGAACGTGAACTACAAACCGAGCATTTGATGACATCCGTTACAGAAAATATCGTTTATAACGATTAATGGTTATAAAGTCTCCCAAAGGAATGTTTTCGGACTAGGGAAAACCAAATATCGGTTGTTATAACAGAAAATTCTAGCCCCTTGAATTTCATAAAAACCAATATTCACACTGAGTACAATAAATCATAAGCGCACGTACGCGTCTCAAGTAATATGAAGAGTTATACACCGGGAACAGTTAAGAGAGAGCGCTACTTCACTCGATTCGCCAATTTCGAATTTCCGTGTAAGAATGATGTTTAAGATGTAAAGATGATTTATATACGCTATATTTTAATACACATATAACCAATCAGTCGATCAAGTGACTCGAATACATTAAGGACAATCCTAATTATTTGTTTCAATTCGTTTTTCATAAAAGAACCATAAAGAAAAACTCAATTTGTTGAATAATGGACTCGGTTCGAAGTATTATAAATGTATAACGAATACAATTAATAAAAAAAAAAAAAATAAGTAAATTTATGGATTATCTACAAGATTATTAATTATTGATAATGTGATTACAACTTTTTAATTTCATCCATGAAATGTTATTAAATAAAAAAAGGTTGCTTATAAATGGATCATTATAGACTTTTTTTTAATTAGCTTAATAAAAATGTGCTTAGACCAAGCATACGAGTATAAATATATGTATTAAAGGGAAAAGGGGTAAGCCTTTTAACGCAACTACAATTCTGAATAAGATACCTATAATAAACTCAAAGAGAAACAAAATGATGTTGAATACGAATTTCGTTAATTTCAAGGGATAACAACTACTTAATACCTGCTTAATTACGACTGTCAATAGCTTGAAAATATAATTAATACTTTTTTTTTTGTACATCGGTATGTTATATAAGCTTTCATACTCACATATGGTAAAAGTTCATGCGGAGCCATACCACTCATAATGACCAAATAACGAATTATAACTTTCAAATTATTTGGCCAACATAAACAAAGTGTTGACCATACGTCTTCAATGTCTTTTGGGTGTTCATCAGCGAACTAAAATTTATAAATTATTATTATTCTCATGATATTAAATATAATAATTATATATAAAAAAAAAAAAACAAGTCTAGTTTAAAATTTTTTGTATAATAAAAGCAACACAGTTGTCATTACGAATATTAGATAATCATCATTTCTTTTTGCTAATAATATTATTTGCTTACTATTATTGTTATTATTATTATTATTTATTATAAAATCATTGCAATATAAATATGATTTCGAAAATAGTTCAATATATAAAAATTTGAAGTTCGTTTCTGATAAGCTAATATAACTCAAATTTATCATGTTAAATGTTAATATCAAATATCTTATACTCTTGTATAAATATAATTACTAATTAACCTAAAATGAAGTACTGACGTCATATATGTATAAATAAATAAAAATTATAACTAACAATGTAATGCTGTAAATAAAAAAATTTCTTATTATTCAAATTAAAAGTGAATGGATGCATGGAGTAGGTAACTAAATATTTCCTTCAAGTTTTGTTTCAGTTTCAAAAAAACTATTTTTAGAACATTTTAAATTCATCGTTTAAACTTTTAAAGTACCATTTATGTTCAATTCCAGAGTTAAAAATCCGAACGTAACTTTTCATACATATTTACCTCATTCAAATACTAAAAATACGAATTAGCTCTGACAAGTAATAATACGCAAGTAAATACGCCAACCCAAAACTCTTATTCAAAAATAAATAAATGGAAAAACTTTAGTTAAACAAAGAATTACTAGCATAATCATTCTAAATAGTCAAATTTTTATTGTATTTCCTAAGTTTTAATCTCATAAACGATTTATCAAAAATTTAACAACAATTTAATTGTTGACAGACAGGTACAGATGAAAGTTTTATTATTTAAAACTGTATTAAATTATATGTACCAATATATAAAACCTATGCATAATTAATCTATCGCTAGTAAATTTGAATAATTTTACATTGAAATAATGGGTTTTTTTAATTAAGACTAAGCAACTTGGAATAAAATAAGCGAACATTTAAATTAAAAAATAATAATAAGTTTTTGTCCCATTTCACTCAAATGTACGTAATGGTTTAAAAATTTTAATTAAATTTTATTTTTCACATTTTAATCATATTATTAATTGCTTTAAATTTACAGACATCAATAGCGCAATTATACAATATAATAAGTCATACTAATTATAAAATGTGACTATAAAATAATTAGATCAATAAATAAGAATCAAAATAACTGTGACTACGAGCTCTAGTTCGATTTCTTGTGACGATAGAAAAGTAACCACGCCATCAGAGTTATCTATTATTATTTGTTTTAAAATAAATAAATTCGCCACATATTTGTAAAATGGTATGATCTGGTTCTGGTTTTATAAAAGTATGAATTATGGGCTAAGGTTATGATTCCTGTTAAAATCTAAATTTTTTTTCTTATATACTTACTCGTATTGTTTGGGCTCAGAAGTTGATGCATTTTGCATTTTTTTTTTTTTGGAACTTTTTAGACAATGCTCTTCTGGCCACAAATGTGTTTCTTTATCTTTTAAATTCGAATAATTAATTTTTATTTTGCATTTTTTGGTGTTTATTAATTTTTAAGTCATTTTTTGACATTTTTAATCATTTTTACTGGTTTCACACTAGTTCACTTCTTGTCGTTTCTTATCAATTATTATGCCGATAACTTAAGACTTGTCCGATTTTATCTCACCGGTTACATTCATAGTTATCGTATTGTAGTGAATATTACTATACCTACATTTTATTATTCTTTCCTAATATTCGATTAGTATCCGATTTTATCTCGTCGATTACAGTCGTCGCGTAGTTGTCATGTTAATATAAGTGAATAATAACCTATTATATTTAAATTTTATTATTTTTTTCATAATACATTCGAAATAACGAAAATTAAAACGTCGGTTAGTGCTCGTCTGTATCTCACTTCAGTGATCATGGAGAGAATTTTTTCCAAATAAATATTTATTAACAGATAATCGTCGTTCATTTACTTTTGATAACATCAAATACCCTCTAATTGTACACTGTAATTATTTCGATTTTTGAGTAATTTGTAAGTTTTGATAAATTAAACAGAATGTTACAGAAAAACAGAGTAAAATATTTAAAAAAAAAGTATTTTTATTAATTTAAAACAAATGTATGTAATTTTTTTAGGTTATTTTTAATGACATTTTTTGTCATTTTTACGCTATATCTGCATCTTTTTTATGTCATTCTTTAATGTTTTTAAGGTCATTAACTACCGAGCCCTACTTATTATTATGTGTTTTATTTAATTTATGCAAATTAAAATATTTATTCAACAATATTTGAATTGGTCGATTCGTTTCCATATTTAAACTACTTTATTTCAAAAAATGCCCGTTAAATTAGTCAATTGTTAAAGTAAATCGATGTTAGCAACAATTTGAAGTTGTAAAGAAACTGGACAATATCAAAATATCAAAATTAATTATTCATATATAAAAACCTAAATTAAAAACTAATTACTTATTAAAAAAAAAATTATAGTTTGATCAATGATCAAAAAGTAATTAAAGCACAATCAATCAGTTTTCAAAAACAAATAATATACAGTGCAATGTCGATAACTCGAATGGGTCGGGAGCACCTCTGATTTCTTTAATACTTATTATTGTTATTTATGAACATACACTATTTATACATAAAATTTTACATTATTTCAATAATTTAGGATAATGTATGTTAAAAAATTCGAGTTTCAAACCAAAATTCAATTCAAATGACTTAGACATATTGAGAATTTTGAATTATCGATAAAATGTATTAAACATATATATTGAAATGCAGGGGCCAAGACATTAGACATTATTCGAGTTATCAAAAATTCGACTTAAAGAGATTCGATTTATCGAAGTTCCACTGTAATTTCAATAGTTAAATTAATCAACACAAAATTACAAAGAGCATTAATAGAGTATATAATTGAAAGACTGAATATTTAAAATATTTTATACTTCTACAAAATTAGTAAAATTAGCAAAATTAAAAATATTGAATCATATTTTAAATTAAAAATAAATTTTAATAGTTGTTATTCTTTAATATATCATCTATTCGCTTTTTATATTATCTTATATATTTATTATATTTTGTTATTCTATATGTATGGTATTATTATAGTCATACATATTCTAAGTTGATCTAAGTCAATATTGTATTCAGTTTGATTAATTACACATTAATTCAAGTAGAAACGAAATGGGATATGTTAAAGACATCATTCATAAATTATTACCTTAGCTGTAATGTAGAATAAATTATTTAACACCATTTCCGTGGCCTCGACTGACCCCCAACCTTCTCGGCGACAAGAATTTGACTGGCCTTCTTCTGCAGGATAATACTAAAAAAAAAATTGAAAACCTTAGATACTATCTAATATGACATAAGTATTTGAAATATTTTACTTCACTAGGAAACTGCTATACATTAAACCAACGTTGTTTTTTCCATTATTAATTTAAAAATAAATTATTAAAATGACTACATGACGTAAGAAAGAAGAAAACTAATATGTATTTTTTAAATACACACTAGCGTATATGTATAATTAATTAATTGTTTTCAAAATATTTTTTAAATTAATTTATATAGCTTAAAATATATTTAAAAATAATTGTTTAGGTACAAACTTTAGAATGTATACATTACTGTACATGATATAAAGTTTTAGCAATCGCCTTGTATCAATCAAACATAGTAAGCAAGATATAATATAAAAAAAATTATGAACTTCGAGATACATTTTTTTAAGTTAATATAAAATAAATTATCTACAGTTAAGAATATAAAATTAAAACCTAATTTGTAATCTGTTACAAGGGTTTTTTCAATATTGTAATTTTAAAGTTTAAATCTACCGTCAATTATAAATACAATGTTTAATATTCATAATATGCCAATTTGTTGATATACTCGTATTAACGTAAAATATAAATGTATTATAATAATTTTGTTGAGTGTACATTTACTATATATATATTTGTATATATATTTACTATATACTAATGTACACAGACAACGGAAATATATAACAGTCTATGAAATGTATCTTTGAATGAAATCAACAGTCGGTAATACAATACAGACATTACCCATAATGAGTTAAATAATCATAGTAATTTAAAAAACAAAATATTGACTACCTGGAAATACGATAGTGGATTTGGAGGAGGTACATTCGGATCCACTAATTCCATGTTATGTAACCAAGGAACTAAATAATGTAATAGCAACTGTCGCACTTCCGGTCTTGCTGTTTGAAATCTGCAGGTTATTTCTAAAAGAAAAAGCAATGGATAAACTGTCAAAAATATGATAATAAATTACGTAAAATGTTTATAATATTTCGTATGGAACAACTTTTATTTATTTTATTTACAAAACGTTATACTAGAATAATATTCATTATGAAGCGCAACATATTTTTTTATCAGTTAACAGCTACTCGTATATTTTATACACAAACTGTAGATACATATTAAAGAAGACCATTACCATAAATTGGTAATTTATATAATGTGAAACTTTACGCTAAAGTATAAAATCCTATGATAGGCCTGTATTGAAAATAAAACGAGTATCTTAATAATGAAAGATTAATAGTATTCAAATAATTTCAACTAGTTCAAATAAAATTAATGAATTTGTATCCTTTAATTTTCATAATAGATCTAATTTATCCACTTAAATATTACACAATTTAATAAATCCTAACTTAAAAGTACCTATATAAATTATTCAACAAATTTTTAAATCAAAATACATCATGTATGAGTATGTGTGAAATAATGTAAACAAAATACTTAACACAAAAAGGTATTACCGAATTAGGCACTTGTTTACTTTCATCGTTACTTAAAATTACTTATTTGAAATTAAAAAAAATAAATACATAAAATGTTTTTCGTAAAATTATTGTAAGAAAGTTTTAATTTATTAAAACAACTATCTAAAATTTTTAAACTTATTTTTTAATGCCAATCTTACTCCTACGAAAGGTAAAATCAACGATATACTTTCCATCGAATGTATGATTTCCGGAGTATGCTCATCATTTTGCAAAGTAAAATATCACACACTCTATAAAACAGAATATATTGATGTAGGTAAATTTATCATATAAATAAAAATAATCATAATTCAATAAACAATAGACCACGTAGAATAATTTAAAACTTAAGATGAAAAGGTAATATAGATGATAGATTATTTTTTACTTTCACATATTTTATCTTACTAACCCTAGTTGTAAAATTTGGTAAAATTAATGACATGACTTGCGGTTTCCGGTTTATAATTTGTTTTATTTTGAAGTTTCAACAGTAATGATTCAATGGCCAACATTAAAATTCATTACTGCACAGTATGTACTACCTACTTCACTCTTTACTTTAATCATAGCTTACATTCGATATTTATATAGTAACTTGGAACTAGTTATTTCATATAACATATATAACCACATGAGATCCATCACAATAACGTAGTATCAGTGTTCTCCCCGTAGATGTAATATTTTAACATAATATTAATAATAATAATGAAAATGTTTAAATGCATTTTAAAAATCGTTAGTGAAATATTCCTTTGCGCACCATTAAAATTTCATTTAACGTTAGTATTACAATTTTCACAAACGAAAAATTGTTTGATGCAGATCGTCTACCATTTAATGTACTAGATTAACGATAGTAAATAATTTTAATAAAACGTGTAATATTTAATTTTGGATAAGACATTTCAAACTTACATAAATTCGTCTTATGATTAGCGACTACAAATATATATAAACAATGTTTTATTAATAACAAAAAAAAAAGCTTTAGCCTACTTTAGCCTACTTTAAATCGTTTTACATATATAAATATAATTATTTACGATACATTTCCAAATTTAAAATTATAACATGATATTAGTTTGTTCAAAAATAAATATATCAAATCAATTTAGCTTATGAATTCCGTCCACACTATTAATTTTTTTTTTTATGACGATAGTGTATTTTTATAATCTTTTTTGTCTCAATTCAATCATGTTATAATCTTGGATAATTATTTATTTTTTAACTATAAATTCAGTTATGAGATTGTCATCTTACACCATTTCCAAACCTCTTAAATAATTTTGTAAATATAGATCACTGGTAACAGTGAAAAAAAATTATAAACATCTTGGCAAAAAAAATTAAAAAAAAAAAAATGTGTGGGACTAGTGATGATTTATTGAAAAATACTTAATGAGGTATTAATGGAAATGATAAAACAAAAGAAAGAATTAGACATTTTTATGAGAGATATAATAAATTGTGATTTATTGAGGATAATTTATTTTATGCATAACCTAGAGTATAAAACATATATGAGTGTGGTGTAAATTGTAGATTAGCTGCAGTCACAATATTACAATTAAACATCATCCGACACAACTAACTTTTTTTTTTTGTACAAATAAATGTAAGCATATATTTAAAGTATTCAACATGTAAAATATTAATACGAACATTAATTTTAAATATAACTAATTTTGATTTTTTCACTAAGTATCGCTTATCATAGAGTAATTTATGATCATTCACCAAAGTATATAAAAGCTCATACATTTATTGTTAAATATATAATTTGAAACTTTAATTCAACGTTATTTTATAATTACATATTTTTCATGCAATTTATTTTCCAAAGGCTTATCTACCATAATTTATAACTGTACTTTGTTGTAATCATATAATAATAATCATATACCATAGAGCTGTTTCATTTTATTCAAATGATTTAAAATAACTGAAAATTTTAAAGAGTATTTTAAAGAAAACGCATAATACGCAGTATAAGGTTTTAACCGTGATCTCATAAAAGAGAACTGATCGAATTTTTAAAAATATTAAAGACACTTGGATTTAATAAAGTAGACTAAGAATTATATCTAATTGAACATGAATAAATTTAATAAAAATAAATGTTAATAAATCAAACAATTTGCTCGGGAAGTATTTTTTATCATGAAACTTAATATTAAATACAATTTAAATATAATATATATTATTTAAAATAATAAATTTTTTCCTACCATAATCTATATATAGATAAATTAACATAGGGACAAAATTAAAAATAAGTACATTACTCGGTATTAGCCAATCATAATTTAATCATATGTATAATTTTTACAAACAAAATTAAAAAGAGTTATACACTTATCAGAAGGTAAAAAATTAATGTTTTTATAATAGCACAATTGATTTTAAAATAAATAAATACCGCAAAAATGATAGTTATTAATAATATGCATTTAAAAAGTGTAAAATATGCAATGAAAAATTGCCCAAATATGCAATTATATGTATTATGTTACACTACATAAAATGTGTTTTTTTTTAAAAAAAAACCACATTTTTATACAAAAAAGAATTCTAAATATTTTATTAAAAACGAATAAATATGATAATATCCACAGCTTTATATTTCAAATCATTTAAAAATCAATCTACAACTTTTAAGAAACTTAAAAACGAGAATACAAATAAAAAAAAATTAGAAATAAATATTTTGATTATTTGAAGTTACCTATTCTCAAAAAAACGAATAGAAAACTTCAAAAAAATACATAAAAATTTTAATTTATTAAAAACCCATTAAATATGCATGTTATTTACATTTATGAACAAGTATGTAATAACCCACGTAATATGCAAAATATGCAACATAAAATTTGGTGTTTAAATGCGGTGTGATATGAATCGTGGTCATTTTAAACCTTCGTAGACGTGCATACACTTAAAAAAATGCATATAAATCCGGGCTCTAGTCATTATGAATGACAGATCGATCTGAAGATTTTAAAAACTCTTTATTTTTTAAAGTAAAGCAATCGTTTGACGTCTTTTAAATATTTAATGACAGTTGTTTAACCTAGTCACTATCCAACCCATGCGTACAAAGTTACTTATAACAACTATTTTTATAATAATTTATTATTGCAAGATATTCTGTTTATTTTCATATAGTTAATTTTCTAATAAATAACATGTTGCAGCATATAAAAGTCAACATACATTTTTTTTGTGTGTTTTAAATATATTTACATTTTTTAATGTATTATTGATTATAATTTTTATCTTTTTCAATATTGGAATGAATAATAAATTAGTTTTAATACTAGGCATCATATAACATACATTTTTATTGCCAAACTATTAAATGAATAATAATCAATCTTAGAGTTTGATAAGTAAGGTCTCTATTTCTTGTTGGTATTTCATGGATAGATCTTATACTAATATACATGATGATGTATTGTGTGAACTTTAATGAAGTTTGCAACCATATGATTAAGTCACCACGCACAAGCCACAAAGCTTTATGTTTAGAAATTTCATATTAGACATATATCTCGTAAGACATAGATATAGGTCAGTATTTTATTATTTTCAAACCGTTATAACTCCGTTGAACTAAATTCCATATTAGGGTAACTATTTTATTATTACTATCAAAATGTATTCGTATTTATACATTTAATAAATTTAAATACTGAAAGATTGATACCTAAGCGACAAAACTCTTATAAAATATATATCTTATTATTATTATATAAAAATCACTAATTTAAATACATCCATACAATAAATTTAATTTTTAATAATTTCTCAACAATGTATTACAAGTTACCATGTTTAATATAATTTAAATTTATTCCTAGATAATTTTTAAATATCCAAAGAAAAGAAGAACTTATATATTGTCATGTCGATACTTGCGATAACGAATTTCTAAGTGAATTTGGATAAAATTATGTCATTCTTCACACTCTATTAATGACCATAATAAATTACAGTTAAAACTATTTAGAAATTAGAATAACTTAAAATGTAGCCAGTATAATAAAGCTTTAATATAAATTTAAATTAATTCGATTTATTTATAAAATGTTACTTATTTTATAATTCAATTTATTAATATTTCATAAAGTAAAATAATATAGAAATAATATATTACGAATAAGATCAATATTTCTAAAAATCTGGATTTTAAGGGAGTTCCCATTCAATTTTCCTAGACAGGGGCCTGGGACAAAATGGTCCCATAGTTTCCTCTCCCTGGCGAAAGCCCTGATACTAAATAAAAAATCCATCAAAATCTAGTATATTATTGTAGTAACATAACCATTTATTTATGCCATATTACTTTCATTAAACAAGTAAATCCATTTCATCAAAGTTTGATGCCTATATGGTTTTTTAAATAGCCTTAAAACAAATTAAAATAAGATAAATTAATA